AAATCTTACATTCTCAGTGCTCCATAAATGTGTTATTTCTTTCTGTGCCTGATGATGATGTCCAGGTTGAGAGGTATGAACGGATACAGCCTAAGGCAGGTTCTCAGATACGCTGGTGCTGTAAGTGCTGATGGATCACCTCTAGCAGGGCTGAGAATTTTACTAGGGGCAGGGCTTCTCAAGGGAAGACCAAACTCATTAATGCAGGAAGTACCTTCACAAATATTTAGCCTCCAGGTGATATTACTCCCGTTAAAGTATTTTGCCAGTAAAAACTCTACCTTTTTCCTTCACGGGGCATTTTCATCGCCAAATAAATTGCCAGTGCCCACAGCAAGCGTTTAAGTGCTGCGTGCAAGAGCATCACTGCAAGATGTTCAGCCAGAGATATGTAAATAGGATCAGTTCTGGGATGAGTCAGGTCCCTATATCACGTTTTCTGTATTACTGTGCCTGGGACACATTGTAAGATTTCTTGCTAGCAAGACTCGTTTATCAGAAACCTTTCTGTTTTTTTTGGAAAAAAAAAAAAAAAGAGGGGTGTTAGAGCAGTTGCATTTTATGCTATTTGATGTGATTTAATTCTCTGATAAACGCATATCATTGCATTCTTCACCGTATCACTAAGCTCTTCTTTTCTCAGCTTCCTTTATTTATTTTCAATGACTCTCCCAATGTTTAAGCATAATATTTTATAGATATATATATATATATTTAATTTCTCCCTGCCAATAACATGCTAAAGGTAGAAACAACCCCTTTAACCACTTTAGGGTTTTTTATTGTAGAGATGCCTGAAGTATTGTGCCAGTAAAATCTATTGTTTTTAACTCTTTAGTGGAATCAACAAGGAGACCTGAACAAATGAAAGGGAAAGAGGCTAGGTCAAACTGGTCAACAATCAACTATGTCTCAGTACATACAGCGCTATTCATATTATTTTGCCTTAGACTTTTCAGCTCATCCCAGCCCTGCAAGTTCAGCTCTGTAAATAGATCCTGCTGTATATGTTGTTTGCAAGAGGGTCTCTGGCAAAATGCACTCTCAGGGATAAATATAGTTAGGGAAAAAAGAAAACAAACCCCCTTTGTTTCACGGAACAGTTTCATGGATAGATCTCAAAGTACTTTGAGAGGGCAAAGCCCTCTGATATATATCTGGGGAAACTAAGGCATGGGATAATCATTCATTTAGAATGAATCAAACCACACCTTAGTGCTAAAGAAGATAAGAGAAATGCTTTTTTTTTTTTTTTTTTTTTTTTTCCTCGTGAAGAGCATCACATTTATCTCATTTACTCTGCAGAGCAGCAGTGCCTAGAAGCTGCAGGCATGGATGAGGCTTGAAGTACGCTAGGCGAGGGTCAGCCACAAGATAAATGGTCGGTGCTCCTATGACCTTTCCATCTTGCTATTCATCTTACAGGAATACACCGACTAGATTTGCAAGTCAAACCTGGAAAGGATTAAATCTCACAAAAGAAAGAATTTCATTCAAATGAATTTCATTCACACAAGATGGGTACCAGATCTCAGTCATTTAAATGAGAGGAATTTCTTTGCCATTATACTTGCATATTAGTGCTCGCTCCCGTGGATTTGAAATGCAATGCAGAATAAATTAAAGTTGTCAAACACATACAAGTGTTTCTTATAAGGTCAACCAGAGAGCAAATACCTTTATAAACCTTCCAGCTACAGTGGTCCTCAGCAGAAAAGTACCCAATATACAGCTATTAAAAAAAACCCCAACCAAACAAAAAAAACCCAAGTGTTAAAAAATTGTGATCCTGCAATATCTGCTTCTGCCTTCAGATGGAGAAATATCCTCTCCACCTCATCAGAGATATGTCCTTCATCACAGCAAAAAATCCACTCTAGCTACTGCTAGAAAGCCTCTACCTTTGACTTCGATCACTATTGCCTCCAAAGGGTTGCAATTTTGGTGTCCCTGCTTTTGTCCTCGATGTTCAGCTTTGTGTCTCCTGTTTTCCCCATGGCATTAATTGTATCTTCAAAGCCCAACTTTCGGATGTTTTCTACCTATGATTTCCACCTCCTGTCCCTGGTCCTGAATCTTGGAACAACCTGGCTTACCGAGTCTTTGCTCCATCTCCTCTAATGCTTCTCTGAAACATTTCCAAAGTGCTTCCATCACTTTCTTCACTTGACTCCCTGGTCCTCAGCCCTGCCAAGGTAGCAGCATTCTCCTTTTCCTTTACGTTCTCCATGTGTAAATACGAGCCCCCAGATAAAGAATATACAGCTCTCTTTATTTGGAAAAGTATTTCAAGCATTACAAGGTCAGAAAAATCATCAACACTAACAAGAAATTTCCATCCCACTCTTGAGAACTCCAGCAAAAAAACTCAATGACCATGCTAAGGCCACAAGTCAAACAAGACGAGTCTGAAAACCACATCTGAAATCAAAAGACTCCCACGAGACTTTTTTTTTCCACTGTTATCCAAGACTGGGACACATGTTTGTCAGCCAGTTCAGTTATTTGCAGAGAGGATATTCTCTACTGCCCTTCCAACCCAACAAAAGGCAAAGCTCAGAAAGTTACAGCCCAAGAAAAGGATCTGAATTTCCGATGCTGTTTAAAAGCCAATTTTCTTTCTCAGTAATGTGTTTTTCCCTTTAGATGAAAATACCGAAGAGGCGGGTGTTACTGAAGTCACAGATTTAAGCAAAAATGTAGCCAAACCTATTCAAAACCCAAATGTCACACACCAAAACAAGGCTTTCACATATGATATTCTCAAAACTAGACTCTGTGTTCTGCTACCATACCATATGCAGTGGTTGCCTTTAAAGAGTTTGAGCTCTGTGGCTTTACCACAGAACCAAGAAGGTTATAAACACCCAGAAACAAAAGAATAAGAAAAACAAGTGTTCCCCATTCTCCACTTTGTACATTTTCCATGCAGCATACTGCGCTTGGGCTAGGTTTCCTCCCTCTCCCTGCCTTAGGAAACACTCTCCCTCTTCCCTAATGCTCCCTCTTCCAATTCCATGTTTGCAGTCTAAGTCCCCAGCCCAGCCTCCCTGCCAGAGGCAGGTGTGAGATTCATCTTCAACCATCTGCACCATCTTCTCCATTGAGCTGGACATGTGGACCCCCTTCATAGCCAGGGGAGAGAAAGTAGCTCTTTCAGGGCACCGTTCATCTACCAGATTGCAGATAAGGGCGCAATGAGTCATGTCCTGTGAGCGTATTTCTAGTGACTACACAAGGAATTGAAATGTCTGCTTTTTGTCAGCTGCGTGGCACTTAGTCCGTGCCTTAAAACGAGAGTGAGTTGGTGGTGAAGGGGGATAACTGTGTTTAGGAAGAGGGGAGGCAGATATTCAATCAAGAAACATCTGGGTCAGCAGAAGACACAACAGCATCTGCTTTGCTGGGAACTCACAGCGAAGTGAGATTTAAAATTATATTAATGCATTAGCTAAACCACTGGTAATTATCGATGTGAGCATGTAAGAGCATTCATCCACGACTGTAGCTGATAAAAAGAGAGAAACATCTTTAAGCACAGTGGAGAACTTGTCTAGAGAGGTCTGCCCAGCTGCGATTCTTACAGAAGGAGCTAAGAACACAGGTTCCTGAGGCTAAATTAAGCTTAGCATGGGAAAGCTTAGCCCACTGTCAAACCAACTCTAACCTTGCGGTATACGGAAAATTTTTTTTGCAAATTTTTTAGATTCCACTGCCTAGGACAATATCAAACAGCTAATTAGCATGTTTAAGCCAAGAGATAAAAGAAGTGCATCTCTCCCAAACCTAATTTTCTATGGTTCTACAAAGAGTTAACTGACAACTCCCGCTGCTTCATATTTCAGTTTATTTTATACTGTCTTTCCAACAGAGATCTTCTAGTACAGCAAACTCAGCAGGCGTTGAATTGCCTAGTCCTTAGAATAAGGACATCCCTCTTCTCCACTGCTAGTAATATTCAAGCCCGTTTCCTGCCCGATAAGGCTGATCTCTCCTCCACCGCTGTTCGCATTAAATCTTGCGCCCGGTGGTTTCATCTGCATTGTATTCTGTCCCTTACATTGCAGACTCATTACTACTCAGATGACTTTGTAAAATAATCTCTGTGTATAGAATAGCTAGTCCAAATCTCACAGGCAAATCGCCATAAACTTCAGGTCTGCGTGCAAACCCCAGAGCTGGGATCTATTGCCAGTTTACAAATCCACATAGACAATCAATGACATTAATCAGAGGGGAAAGAAGCAGGCAGAGCTGTAGCTAGCTTGTTAATGGACCCTTGGGAGTAAGTTTTGAAGTTAGAAAA